TCATGATCTCACAGTTCGTGAGTTCCAAGGCCCATGTTGGACTCTGTGATGACAGCTCAGAGCCTGGAGACTGCTTTGGATTCTTTGTCTCCCTCGCTCTCTGCCCCTCCCCCGCTTGCCCTCACTCTGTCTCTCTCTCAAGAATAAATAAACATTAAAAAAAATTTTTTAATTAAAAAAAAAAAAAGGTGCAGATTTCACTTGCTGCCTCCTCTTAATTTCTTCTTTACCCATCTAGGAGACCCTAGTTTTCTGAATCAGGAAGTGGCTAAAGCAAAAATATCTGACATGTTTCTTTGCTGTGTTGAATATATTGTCTCCAGGGATAAGCCAGGAACCTGACCTCAGGCATGACAGTATTCAGTTTTCTGCAGAGCATCAACACCCACTGCACAGAAAGGGTTGGGGAAAGAAGTTTCCCCAGCAAGAGGAGGGCACATAAGGCTTCTGACCATCTGGAGCTAATGAAGAGGTGGATTCTTAGACAAGGGCAGGGCCACGTGAGTATCTTTTTCAATCTTGCCCTGCTGGATCTGCAAACCTGATTTAATTCTGTGATTTACAATTCAATAACGCCCAACAGAATACCTTTAGAGATGCAATGGAATGGGCAGTTTCCCTCACAGCCTAGTCAGCAGCTATGTCCATTCTTCCCAAAGCCTTTCTAACCCGTCTGGAAGACCCACTGATACTGGTCACAATGCAGTCACTTGACATGGATCTGGGAGGAAGGCAGCAGGCCTGTCAGGGAGAGGAAAAAAGTTCTTCCTCTACTTAGGGGAAATGGGGGAAAACAAGAAAAAAAAAAAAAAGCAGTACGTAGCAGAGGTAGCAAGGCTTACGAGAGGAAGATGAAATGAGTGGCTGAGAAACGTGCACACAAGAGAGTCACTACTTTTGTTACCAGTTACATGACAGGCTAGCAAGTGAATCTGTTCAGTCTCCTATGACAGAGAATGGTATTGAGAAGGCTCTTTGCACACCCCAGTGAGGTTGCTTTGGAAGTAACAAGAGGGGATTGGAATAATGAATGAGCAGCAGAGAGAGCTCTAATCTATCTCCTGAATAATTCACAAAATAATTTTCTTCTGGCAATACAGAGCTCCTATTGCAATAGCATATTCAAAATAAATGAGCTTATACAGCTCTAATGGTGTCAATGGTGTCTCAAGCTTCTACTTGATCCCAAGAAACAAGTGCTCAAGTGACTAGATATTAAATTTCAAACAATTTTATCATGAACATAACATGAAAAGTTTAAAAAAAAACACATGGAAGAGTTTCTTATCCCTGTTTTGTTAGGGTACAGGGTAGTATGAATATGTGTATGGGGAGAGGGGATAAAGAGAGAAAAAAGCTGTCGAAAGGTACACAACATGCAAATATATGATGAAATTTAACAACAGAAACAAAGGGATTTCTCTCAGTCAAGACAAACATCCATTTCAGGTTGGAGATCTAGATTCTGATTACTCCTCTGGGCATCTATGTAGATGAGGATGGTCCCTCCTCAAACATTCAATATTTACCGATCACAGGCCACACCTGAGGCATTTTGCAAGGCACAGGCCACCACAATACAGCCACTCAGCAGAGGTCCACAGAGGGCAGCCTCCATTATTTGGTAAGTAACAATCTCCTATCCGCAGTTCTTTGGCAAAATAGCTAGATACAAACACTTTACTTATTATGGCCCTGCGGCTTTTCAAGTCATCCCTATCAGAGGAGGCTGTGGTTCTCCAGGGAATGTGGGAACTAAAAAACAAATGCTCAGCATGGTTGGTGAGAAGGATGGGAAGGTAAAACCAAATTGTAAACTCTATTCTTTGGGAGATTTTTTTTTTTAAAGTTTATTTATTTAGTAATCTCTATAATCTCTACACCCAACCTAAGGCTCAAACTCAGGACCCTGAGATCAGGAGTCACATGCTCTTCTGACTGAGCCAGCCAGGCACCCCTATTCTTTCGGAAATTCTTTTTTTTTTTTTTTTTTAATTTTTTTTTCAACGTTTTTATTTATTTTTGGGACAGAGAGAGACAGAGCATGAACGGGGGAGGGGCAGAGAGAGAGGGAGACACAGAATCGGAAACAGGCTCCAGGCTCTGAGCCATCAGCCCAGAGCCTGACGCGGGGCTCGAACTCACGGACCGCGAGATCGTGACCTGGCTGAAGTCGGACGCTCAACCGACTGCGCCACCCAGGCGCCCCTCTTTGGGAAATTCTTAAAACAACACAAGGGACATAATTTATCAAGGGACATAATATAAGACTCATTAAAATATACAGAACAATTTGAAACAAAAATTTGAAAAAATATACAATCTTCAAATCAAACACATTAAATAACCAACAATAAGATGAGCATGGATTTGTTTTCCAAATCCTAGAATACTAGGAAGAGGTGGCTTAAACCTTAATCCTTGAAAGGAGGTTTAAGGAAAGGTTAAAGATGGCTACACCATATAGTGGAAAGAGCCCGGGGCTTGGGAAAATGATCTGGATCTTGGTTCTAGTTCCTCCTCCAGTGAGTATGAAACCTCTGAAAAGCTGCAGGATGTTTCCAGGCTAGTTTACTGTCTATAAAGTCCTAGCTCACACAGTCTATGATTACTAGAAACCAAGTCACTTCTAGAAACAAATTAGATGGGATTTGAGAAATGAGAAAAGTAGGAAAAACAACTTAGCTGTACCAATATTTCTAATAACGTCTTTTCCTATACTCTTAAGAGTGGCTTCTACTACCTTTATGGAAGACTGGTGTAGCAAGAGAGGAACTGCTAATCCAGCACTCAATTCTACTTCTAACTAAGGTAGTAGGTTTTATAAAAAGAAACAAAATAGCAAGACCACCTCCAAGGTTAAACTTTCCCAAGATCATACATGAGATGAACAGGATGCCTGACCTTACTAGCCAAGGAATATACTAGAATGCTTTCAGCTCAGTATTCCCATCCTCCCCTGCTCCCCTGACACCGAGCACCATAGAAACATTCAGATAGAATTCCCACAGGTAAAGGATCCTTTTCCAGTGGCTCTGCCAGGGGATATAGAAGTCTTCACAGCCATCTGAGGGAACTCTTTGGAAATCTGAAGATATATGCAGTTTTTTTTTTTAGTTTATTTATTTATTATTTTGAGAGAATGCACATGCAAGTGGGGGAGGGGCAGAGAGGGGGGGAAAGAGAGAATCCCAAGCAGGCTCTGTACTATCATTGCGAGCATGATGCGGGGCTGGAACTCACAAACCACGAGATCACTACCTAAGCCGAAGTCAGACGCTTAACTGAGAGCCACCCAGGGGTGCCCCTATGCAAGTTTATATAAAATGGGTATTTATAAGAAACAAGCTATTTCCTCTTATCAGTAACGTGAATAAGCTTCCATATTGGTATACATTTATATAAAAAGCAGAGAATATTTTCCTAGGACAATTAAAGTTTTTGTCTTAAATTGGTGTATTTTCCTTTTTAGTCATTACACTTTCTCTTTTTTCAGCCCTCATGTACAGCTGCCAAGGTGGAGAGTACCCAGATCTAAGTTATTCCTAAGAGGGAAAAGTGGTTTGTACTCCCACCCCAGGAATACTTAATACAATGCCTATACTTAAAAAACTGTAACACTAAGGTCCCAAGGGCCCAGAAAAGGCATTTAGATCTTTCAGTTTCATTTGCTTCAGTTAAAAGCATCTTGATTTTTGTACCTGAACGTCTGACGGAGAGCACTTTGATAACAATACACAAACACTATGAACAAATGGATGAATGACAAGCTGGCTACAGAAAAGAAATATTTTGTGAAAGATTTTTGTGTCAGAAGTAGTAGGCACTTTTGAAAAGTAACCCAAAACACATAATAACTAATTCTTCAGAGAGTAATAGATTCTTTATTTGCAGTATATTCCCGTCCTAGAAAGGGCGTTTCTGCTCCAGATAAGGGCCAAATGAACAAACGATGTCAAAGTGCATCCTCATTACCTGAGACCTATGAAGAAATAAGTCTCCTTTTCTGCAGAGTAGATTTGATCAAACTCACCCACAGCTGTAAGCCCACAGTATAAAATCGCCACATCAAGTCCTCTGTGAACATTTCATCTTAGACAGTAGGTACCAACTACTCAAGGAAAAGTGAAATCACTTTTATCAAGAACACGCGGTCAGAAAAAGAACTGTGATTCTGCTAAACTCACTTAGAAGCCAGCTTCAATACAGCTTTCCTCTGATAAGCCCTACAGATCTCTTCCTTTCAAAATGACCACTCCTCCTTCCATCTCAGGCCTCTAAGGCCTGTTCCGCAACTAATCTGACACCTTTCTAGACTTTGGAACCCCAGGCTCCACCACGCCTTATCCCTACCAGATTTCCACTCTCTTGCGGGCTCTGGTAGCAGTTTTTGGAAATTTACACATGCACAAAAATGTCCATGAACTGACAAAGCAAGGCTTGGGGCCTAACCCTGCTCCCCTCAACTCTCATAAGTGTCCTCACAAATCTCAGATTCCCAAAAACCCGCTCCTTTCGCTTGGAAAGGTTGGCTCTTAACGTTAACCGTTCAGCTTCCACAGCCCCAACTAGTTCTGGTTCCTGTGGCCCTTTCCTGTTTCTCTCTTCGGGTGTTCGGGTTCTCGGCCGCAGCTCACACACTCAACCTGTTTCCTGTCTGTAGGATCCCTGAAGGCTGGGAGCAGGCCCAGAAGAAGCCCCCCCTCCACTCCCAGGGCCTCCGGGATCTAAAAAGGGAAAGGGCCCGGCCTCCCCTAGACTCTCGTTCTTCCACTGTCCACGCCCCAAACTGTCTTTACCTAGGCTCCGCGACCACCTCCGCCACCCTCCGAACATCCCGCGCTGCAGCCCGGGCTCCCCCAGCCCCCTGCTTCCGGGCTTCCCCGCCAATTCTGCTTCCGGTGCTCGGCCTCTCCCCGCCCCGAGCCGGTTCCACCGGTCCGCTCCCCGGCCCCGACCCCGGCCCCGACCCTCCGCGCCACTCGCTCGCGGGCTCTCACCGCTCGAAGAGCAGCCGCACGGAGAATATGCCCGCCGCCACTGGGAATGCCGAGAGGATGTGTCGCGCCCGCGGGTAGCCGTAGCCGTCGCCCGGCCCCTCAAGGTCGGCCCAGCTCACGTTCTGGGGCAGCCAGAAGCGTTCGCTCCACAGCCAACTCCACAGCAGGCCCAGGGCTCCCGCCGCCGCTGTCGCCATCTTACGCCCGCCCCGCGGCCACCGCCGCCACAGCCTCAGCTGCCGCCACAGCCAACGGAACCCGCGGGGAGGCGGACCCGGGGCGGGGCCGAGCCGGCAGCCACCCCTTCCGGCCCCTTCGGGTCCCCGGCCCGTCTCAGCCCGCCTCCTCCATGGGGCCGGGCCTCTTCACCGCCCATCTCACCTCCCCGCCCACCCACCTCCCGGACGGCAGCGGCAGACACCAGGGCCGCCTCTCCTTGGGACCCCTCCCCGCGCCGGGCCATGCCCCTCCCATCTCCGCCCCGCCTCCACCTGCCCCGCAGGCCCTCAATTCTGGTCCCGCCCACTTTTGCTGTGAGTTTCAGCCACGCTTTCTCTCTCTCTCGCTCGCTCGCTCGCTCGCTCGCTCTCTCGCTCTCTCTCTCGCTCTCCTCTCTCTCTCTCTCTCTCTCTGCCAGCCACGGCCACACCCCTTATTTCAGGCCTAGCTCCCTTAAGGGGACACTCCTCTTTCTCAGCCCAGCAGTCTCAAAGGCTGTTCCCGCTGCCAGGCAGTCCAGACCTGCGTCTCTGCACCTAGCAGAACAGGCTTTCATTGGGGTCTACCTCGCCATCTCGGATGGTTCCGCCTAACCGCTCTTCCTTCCACCTCTAGCGTGTTTTGTTCCTAACATTTTCCTTCCTTTGAGTCCTTCCATGATCTCAATTCCCTTTCACTGTTTTATCCCCTAAAATGAACTTTTCAAAATCCTTTTATTTTTCTCATGGGTAAAAGGAAATGGGAAAATAGCCAAAGGATATCATACAAAGAAAAGTACAAAGGAAAAAGAAAAATAAATGATAGCGAATATTTAATGAGGCTTACCAAGTGCCAGGTACCGCACTGAACATTTTACACCAGGTATTTAACTCCATCATTCTATGAAGTAGGTATTGTTGTATTTACTATTTTATGGATGGGTAAACTGAGGTCCATAGAGATCAAACAGCTTGCCCAAAGTTATATAGGATTGTGGTAGAGTAGGGCTTCTGAGCTAGAAAGTCTTTAGACTCTGAAACACTGAGCCCTTATAAACCTCCTTAATTTTAGGTTTGCACAGTAAACATTTAACTCTTTTGTGGATCTACACAAAAAAGGAGCCACAGACAAACCTTCAGAAAGCTAAATTCAAAATGTCCCTCAACTGCCTGAGATTCCTGACCTCTGGTTGCTGTCTGTTCAAACCTGGCTACAAGGTTTATTACCACAGGCTAACTAGAATGATCTGAAAAAAGATTAAAAGAAATTAATCTCTACCTCTTGTTCAAGGACAGATAAAGTAACTTTATAACTAGTAAGGTATGCCTACACCAGAAGTTAAGAGTTTCAAGGGGACAGGAAACAGGAGAAAAAAGTGTGCCATCCTAAGTAGACTAGGTTTGCTTTAGCTCAAAGGTTCTCAAATTTAGGGTACCACAGCCCAGATATTAGCTTGTCCCATCTCCCACATGGAGAGTTTGCTAAAAGATTTCTTTTGGCAAAGAGATTCTGCTTCTGATTCAGGAGGTGAGTCTGAGTGGGGCCTATGAGTTTGCATTTCTCATTTTTAACAAACTCATAGGCAATGCCACTGCAGCTGGTCTGAGAACCACAACATGGTGCCATGTTTGTCCAAACCCAGCAATAGCTTAGTGGTAACTACCACCCTATATTCAAGGTGTATTGTATTGTATTGTATTGTATTGTATTGTATTGTATTGTATTGTATTGTATTGTATTGTATTGTATTGCATTGCATTGTATTGTAGTAATGTTTACTTATTTTTGAGAGAGGGAGGAAGTATAAGCAGGGTAGAGGCAGAGAGAGAGAGAGAGAGAGAGGATCTGAAACAGGCTCTGTGCTGACAGCAGAGAGCCTGATGAGGGGCACAAACCCATAAAGCATGAAATCATGACCTGATGCTTAACCAACTGAACCACCCAGGCACCACAAGGGTGAACAAGAAGTGAACTCTCGCTGATTCCTGGGAATTCAAATCAGAGCCCCAGGGGACAAAGAATTTGGCATGCGGGCCCAAGCACACAGCGATCTTGGTCTCAAGGTCTATCCCCCCCAAAACACATTTGTACCATTTCTCGACATCTTGAGTGTGAGAAAATATATAGTTAAGGAAATGTGTAATGAATGTAAACTTTCTGCCACTTTCACTTTGTCCAGGAGTGATTCAACCAGCAAGCTGGTAGAACTAAGTTGGTCCTGTAGTAGTCATGAAGAGTCTCCTTAACCACCTCAGGTTACAAGCTGGCCCCTTTTCTTGCTTCCTTCACCAACAGGACCTGTTGCCACCACTAACCTACCAAGCCCAAACAAGTTGCCTTCATTCAGAGAGCTGAGAGAAACACTTTGGCTGTAGGTTCTTTTGTTTTCTAAGGATGTTTAGTGTTACCTGGTCATTCTCTTGATAAGAACCACCTTTTATTATATTGATATGGAGCTAGTCCTTGTTTCTACTCTCTGTCCCTATAATATATCTGTCTTAGTCTTTGAATGGCAAAGAAAACATTTCTTCTAAGGTTAATCTCAGTCCCTGCATACCTGATATATGGTGACATACTCAACTGATATCCATAAATACTGGCCATAGGTACTCAGACTTTTTTGTATAAAATCAGTAGGCTCAGTGAGTACCATGTGGATGGGTTGGAGCAGCAGAGTCATACAGTAAAGGCAGCTAAACTCAAGCCAGGATTCGATAGTTTATGAATGTCATCAGGAGCTTCTGGATTAACTGTTCAGTGAACAGGACTTTCTAAAGGACTTCAGCCTGTGATGGGACCAAGAGCAGAAAGTAGTACCCTGCCATCCATTTGGAAGACCAGGCAAGACCCTGGAACATGTAACAGATGACTCAAAAAGTGTGTTTATCTCCAAGGAAATCCACACTCCCACACTTCCATTAACAACAACAACAACAACAACAACAAAAAGTGTTTTAACTATTGGGGCAGTTGCCTCTACAGGCAAGGAAATCAAACAACCAACTATGCCTCTGCCCAGGGTGGAAAACATCCATTTTCAAGCAGAGACATTTGGAAATTCCCTTTAGCATGTTAGGCATAATTGCAAGGTGAATTATTAAATGTTGAGTACAATTAACAATAAAAAACCACCACCAGAGTTTGAATTGTTAAAACACACAGCTCATTTTGAATGTACACACTAAGTTTCTTGCCAAGTTGCTCTCAATTTTTCAGAAAAATTTGTCCTCTTTTAGGAAAGATCAAAGCCCAAGATCGACCCAATGTCACCACCTAGTGGGGAGATATATTCATAACACCTCTCTTCACTTAAAATGCATCAGACCCATGTGCCTTTCTTCCCAGACTGCTAAAGTAAAAGGTCTTGAGACCCTGTCATCATGTAAAATAATAATGGAAAAGGAATATTGAAAAGTTTAGATGTAAATTAAAAGCTTTATTGAATAAAAATGTTTCAGACTAAGCAAGACTATAAGAAAGCAGAATATTTTACATCTCTAAAAAATATTAGAGCTAAATCTCTAAAAATGCAGGACAAAGAAAAGCCTATGGCTTAAAACATCTCTCTCCCCACATACAATTTGGAATATCGATTATGTACAACAAGTGTACTCAAGTTTATGTTCCAAAGCCTTAACTACTAGAAAACCACACACACACAAAGGCCTGTAATTGGTTTAATTGCACCCTGGGAATACTGTCTGCCATAAAAATCAATACATTTCAGAGCTGGTATGTATTTAAAAAACTAGTGTCCCAGAAAGGGGATATCAGAAGTGGAATACAGGGCGTGGGGGTCTGAGCTCAAGTGAGTTAAGGCAGTTTTTTCCGTTATTCCTTCTTTAAACTCCTCACTTTGCTTTAACATGCAACATGGCAAACAGCAGTACAAAAGATCTTATAAAAATATTGTCGTTTTCAGTATATGATGAGCCCATAGATACCACCAAAGAAGAAAGCAATCACTTGGGGTGTAGTCAGACTCATTGGCAAATACCAGAGCTTATTTGAGAGAGAGTGGATCTCTCCAAGCACCAAATGTGCTCAAAAAGTGCCCCAAAAGAACAGTTGTGTTATATCTCAGTAATCCAATTCAGGATGTGGCTTACAGAATGGGATGCAAAGCAAGAAATTCCCCATGTATATCAGAGTGAGAAAATTAACCTAAAAATGTTTTAAAGATTACATATTTGATTTCTTAACAGATGAATGCTAAATAAATTGGTATTCATTTAAAAATATACAAACTGTGCCCTTTATACTAAAGTGCGTTCAGTCATGTTTAGGTCCCTAAACCCCTTCTGTGTGTTCCCTAATTCCATAGTTGAAGTGCGACAATGTGCTACTAATCGTCTATTTTTGTACTGCCTTTTGGGAATACAGTGGAGTCTGAACTACATCAGTTGGCATACCCGCCCCCCGCCCCCATAAGACCTTAAAGCACTTATGTATATCATCATTGCTAAAATAGAGGACTGAAGTAATATTATCTATAGCGTTTAGAATTGGTTCACTTAAGCTGCAGTATGGGATTTTTTTGAAGCAAGAACTCCTCCAGAACTGCTTCCACATAAATGACAGTTCATGCTAAGACACCTGTTTACGGTGCATCACTTTGATAAAGGGCAGTGGCTTGCTAACGCTAACACAGATTTAAGGCCCAGCACCGTTGCAGTCTGTCATTCCTCATCATCCTCATCCTCATCGTAGTACCGATTTCTTTTTATCTGTTCCTCCACAGACAGCTCCTTGACTACTTCTCCCTCCCAGAATCCCACATCCTGGGATTTCTGATGCTGGGTAGTGAATTCTTTAGGGGAGGTGCTTTCTGCAAAGCTGGACCAATTTGTAGACTTGGGTTCTAGTGGGGACTGCTCTTTGAGGTTTCTATCATTTTCATCTAAGCTTGCACCATTTTCTATAAGATTCTCACTCCCCATCTCGAAACCATGATCTTCCTTACTTCTCCTCCCTGCCTCCCCTCCTTTAGATTCTTTGTTTTGCCTGGTTGTTTTTCCCACACTACCATTCTTTTCGGAGGCACTGGCATTTTCCACTTGTTTCCTTTCTGCTGCCATTCCTCCTATAAACTCCTCACTCTGCTCTGACATGCTCCAGCCTTTCCTTATAGGTGGGGATAGGATTTTGGGGCTCTTGACTGAAGTGGTTCGAAACGAAGCTGCCACAGTGAATGGACGGCTTCTTTCCTTCAGTGAAGAAGATCGTCTTAGCTTCTTCAGATCCAGATCCACATCCTCGGGAGCTTCAGGCTTGCTGATTTCATCCTCAGGAGGCCATTTGGGCTTGGATACTTTGATCCCTTCCTCTAAGGTACTTCCTGAACTACCAAGTTCAGTGGGGGGTGGCCAGGCTATCTTCAACTTCTTGGTTTCAGCTGGCTTGTCTTCTTTCTCTGGCTGAGAGGATGCCTTGGCTTCCATACTTGCTGTAAGCACACCCACCTTAGCAATGGGGGCATCTTCGACCCCTGGGCTCTGAGGGGTCTCCCCTGCAATTGGAAGCTGGGCTGGTCTCTCCAAAGTCCCTTCATTTTCATTTTTGCTTGCCCACAGATCCTTGTGTGGTCTGTGTCCAAAGCCTTCATCATAGTTGCCTTTAGCTTTAAAGAGTTGATTGAAGTGAGGCTTACAGTAGATTCTCCCATGTAAAGATGCATATGTTCCTAGACTGTTGTTAAAAGAAAAAGAACATAACGTTGAGGTATCTATATACTCTTACTTATACTAGCAGGCTGAAATTTGGCAACTTCAGTATTTTCAGAAGTTGCTAAGTGAGAAAAATACCTTTAAAAGCACATCAATCGCCTAGGATTCTTTACCCCCTCCCTTTCAAGCACGTTTGTTTTATTACCCTTATAAAAAACATGCTCACTTCTAGGCCTAAAGCTTCACAAGACATTCATGTGGTACATCTTCCTATTTTCAAATGATTTCACTCCCCTCTGTCAAAACTGTTAAAAAAAAAAAATTTCTTCCAAGAAGTCTTACCCAGGTTATCCCACCTATCTCTGACCACTCATATATTTCCTAAGCATTTATAACCTTTCACTACTTATAATGATATTTTCCTTTGTACAAAGCTGAATCATTTTCCTCCTTGTTTCCCATTTGTGTTATAATTTAAAAATACATATCTACAGGAGTAGGTATAATGCTTTGCAAATGGTTTGCACTCACAAGACACTAGTGAATGAATGTGGTTAATAGGAGCACAGTAGCTGGGAAGTAAATCTACCCTAATGTCAGTGCTGGACAGGCCTTTAGGAGAGTTGGTGTCTCTTGCAGGGTAACACAGTTCGAAGAGGGTATGAAAACAACAGCATTTCCACAGAAGAGATACAAAAATTCAGAAGCTTAGAAAAATATGCTTTGGAGAAAAAAAGTAATACCGTGGGCAGAAAAAGAACCAAGGAGCGGAAGTTACAGAGGAACGTTTTGGCTCAACAGAAGGAAAAGTTGTTGGGCTGGAGCTACCCCACACTGGAACAAGGTAGTGCGGTATCGACCCCTGTGGAAGTGCCACACAGACGCCAGCACGTCTTTCAAGAGTATTTTCATTTATTTTTGAGAGACTGAGTGAGGGGCACAGAGAGAGGGAGAGAGAGAGAGAATCCCAAGCAGGCTCCGTGATGTCAGCACAGAGCCCGATGGAGGGCTGGAACCCATGAAATGTGAGATCATGACCCAAGCCAAAATCAAGAGCTGGACACCCAGCTGACTGAGCCACCCTGGTGCCCCTCAAGAGTATTTTAGAAGGAATGCTTGCTCTGAAAGGAAAGCTGGAGGAAGTGACATCCTGGTTACTTTCTTCTCTAAAACTCTATGATTAAAATGAGTTCATATGGAATATGTCCCCAAATAGCCACATTTATATCCATACTTTGAGTTACTTGGAAGAAATGATAATTATTTTGTCACACATAAAAAGAAGCAATATACAGAATATGTGCTCTTCAGTGCCCATTATCATTGCTATTATTACCATTTACACAGTGTTTGGGACATTTTCAAGTAAGGGCTGAAACAACTACACTCTTTTTTTTTTTTTTTTTTTTTTTTTTTTTTTTAATTTATTTATCTTGAGAGAGGCAGAGAGAGTGCAAGTGGGAGAGGGGCACAGAGAGAGGGAGAATCTCAGCCAGGCTCTGCGGTGTCATTGCAGAGCCCGATGTAGGACTCGAACTCACGAAACTGTAGATCAAGACCTGAGCCGAAATCTAGAGTTATATGCTCAACTGACTGAGCCACCCAGGCACCCCTAAACTCTTAAGATTTCTTAGCTTTAAAGGGGCGCCTGGGTGGCTCAGTCAGTTGAGCATCCGACTCTTGGTTTCGACTCAAGTCATGATCTCACGGTTCGTGGGTTCAAGCCGCACATCAGGCTCTGTGCTGACAGTGTGAAGCCTGCCTGGGATTCTCTCTCCCTCTCTCTGCCCCTCCCAAGCTCTCTCTCTCTCTCTCTCAAATAAATAAATCAACTTAAAAAAAAAAAAGATTCTGTGAGACCAAAGGAAAATATTCTACTAAATTAAGTCACAGGGGGGGTTTTACCTGCCACCCATAAGATTTAAGCTCCATGTAAATTAAAATATCAATGTACTAAGATGTTCCAAACACCACTATCATTTGATATGAAATACTTGTCACTAAATGATACTTTTTACGTTTTTCAAGGGCTTTCAACAGCGTGCTCTTGGCATAACAGCTTTTAGCACCAGTGCTCTAAAAGCCAAACATGCCTTCTGGAGGTCCAACTGTACAGAGATCGCTGGTTTGGTTGGCTTACCTAAGTTTGTTGTTGCAATAGGAGCACCGGAAGCAACTGATGTGAAACACCTGCTGGTTGGCTAAGAGACGCTCCATCGGGTAGACTGTCTTCTGACATTCCACACAAGTCTCTCTTGCAGGTGCCTGAAACTTCTAGGAAAAGGAAAAGGGCAGCTTTAACAAGCACCGGCCAAGATGAGTTAGTGCTCTGCTGAGAGGCACCCTGCTTTTACTTTGTCAGCTAAAGGCTCCCTTACCTGTCAATTCTCACAGGAACACTAAGCCTGTTATGATTCTCTTAAAGAGTTCTCTTTAAGGCCAGGAAGCACTCCTGAATTCCTTTCCCCAACTGCCTGGCTGCCCCAAGTGTAGCTGCCACCAAGGACAGGTGGAGCTAGGGCTGGATTGCAGAGAGAGGCTTAGACAAGCCACCACATACACACAAAAGCACATAAAAAATGTTTCCACAGACAGGAAATTAGGAGAAAATGTCATCACACACAGAAGTTTATTTGATTCAAGTGCCTAGTAAAAGCAGGACAGACTTTTGTAAGATTCTGAAGGGGATAAATTTAAAGGAGAGGAAGAGCATTTAACTTTGGGGATGAGGAAAAGACAATTTGATAAAGTATCTTTTAGTCCCCTCTGCTTATACTCTTAATTTGGCATATTATTTTACCCACTAGGCATAATATTTTGAAGTAAGTCAAAGCTGACAGATAAATGTAATAATTTTAAAGAGACAAACTATTTTATTAGGACATCCAGAAGACAGCACAGCCCAACAAAGCTAGAATCTTCTCAGAAACCAATGGAGAAGGGCCCCTGGCTGGCTCAGTATGGAGAACTTGCCACTCTTGATCTCAGGGTTATGAGTTAGAGCTCCACGCTGGGCATGGAGCCTACTTAAAAACAAAAACAAAACAACTCAGTGGAGAATAAAACTACTGTAATGGGGAGTGAAAGGTCATAATAGACTAGGAATTCATGAACTGTCTATAAAGTGTGGAATAAAAGTGGGGTGAGCACAGGTGTTCTAGCTGGTACTACCAATCCTAAATAACACCAAATAGTTGGTATTCCAGCATTGATGAAAGCCAGAATTACCAAACTGCAAGTTTTTACATAAGCAATGGTAACATGGCCACCAGGGGTGGGGGGTAAGAAGTCTCTAGGTATATGTAAATAACTCTTACCCCAAGAGAAACACCTTATCCAGCAAATGCAGAAGCAGCTTAGGTGGCCAGGAAGCTCTCAGTAGACACCTGGGGAAGGCTTTGCTGCCAGGACCCGGGTGGTGGTAAATAACATAAATTAGTCCCGAGGTCCAGGACCTGAATAGTTAAGATAAGCCTAAAAATAAACCAGGTCATGGGCAAGACAGAATTTTCATTACAAAAACCCGAAAATAGTCCCATAAAAAAAAATCAGACTGCTGGTTCACTTGCTATATGATTCACCAGGAAGTAAAGCAAAAAATAGGAATGGTTTTCCAAGTAGATTTGGATAGGAAACAAAAGTAGAAAATGGACCAAAAAATGGCCATAAAGGGAAAGCTCTATAAAAGGGAGTTTATTAGAGTTTAGTGGTAAACTCCCAAACAGCACCAAGGGATTTAAGAATGAAGGAAGAGAACTGAGTGGAAATGGCTTATCAACAGTCCTCTTCCATTCCTAAGGTTAGAGTCCTAAAAAGAAAAACTGTAATAATTAAAGACAGGTTCAACCTAGTTTACCAAGTGTAGGGGAGGTATTTAAATATGATCAAATGTTATTGTAATTGAATGCTGTTGGAAGTAATTAGGGCATTTTTTGGAGCTCGAATTTCTTTTTTTTTTTTTATGTTTATTTATGTTTAGAGAGAGAGAGAGGGAGACAGAGCATCATGGGGGAGGGGCACAGAGAGAGGGAGGCACAGAATCTGAAGCAGACTCCAGGCTCTGAGCTGTCAGCACAGAGCCCGATGCGGGGCTCGAACTCATGAACCTGCGAGATCATGAGCTGAGCCGAAGTCGGATGCTTAACCAACTGAGCCACGCCCCAGAGTTCAGAATTCTTATATGACCACTTCTAACAAGACAGGACTAAGTGGAGATGTCATTGCATAGTTTTAATTGGGTTTTCTTCGAAAAGAACTAGGTCCTTGTCTAGCAAGCAGGAAATACGTTAAAATGCAAAATAAAATTTGGGTATCATAGTACAGTTGATGGCATTGGGGAGATCCTGTACAGATCACTGTTCACATAATGTAAAAGTAATCGGCCAAATGTATTTATTTATCAGATTAAAAATCTTTTTCAGCTGCAGGGGACTTCTGTATTTTTAACACTTGACTTAGAACAGTATTCATTCTGGTCAGTAAAGACAGAGCAGAGGACGGGAATTTCACACGGTACAAGGGGAGACGGGCATTATTTATTCTGCTAATGGGGAACGAAGACCTACAGAGCACTCCTCCATTACAAACATACAGAGAACACACTGTAGGAGGGTGCGGCCCAGTGAACAGAAAGGAAAACCTGAGAGAAAGCTGAAAGCTGAGCTCACGTTAGGAGGAAAGTGGAAGGCAGGAGCAGAAATTAGGTACCGGAGCAGGAAGCAGAAGCTGGAAGAGACAAACAGGAACCTTCAATGAATACACAGCATTTGGAGTGCCCTGGAGCGCTTTACCACAGCTGAGCTGAAACTCAGGTGCAGGCTCCGATCCAAGAATAAGACCATGTTTGCTTTCTTTTTCAAGTATTTCTACTAATTGTGGCTAAATCAGCCTCACTCGTATCTACCTGAGGCTGGAACATGTCCCAGCTCAGGAGAAAGAGCTCTTCTGAGCTTTCACCCACACGAGGAGTGTCTCATTAACAATTCTTTAGTGTCTTACCACCTCCCACACCTGACCCACAATGGCTCTCTCCTGAATGGGGCCTTCGCCCACACAACTGAAAGGCCATCCTCCTTCTCCTCAACATCAAATTAATAGACTGCTAGCCCAAACATCTGACTAACCACAAGCTCCTAACTAGCCAGACCTATCAGAGTCTCATTATTCCCATCCAGCTTTTTACACAGACCCTTTGCAATAGTATTTAATGTTTATGCGGCAGCTGCCCGAGGGCCCCAGAGTTTCATAAAGTCAAGAGGATCCCAACTTGGTAATGTGCCAAATCAGAGTGGCTGTGTCTGTGCCTTCCCTTTACTTCCTCTGTCCTGGGCTCTCAGCCACTTTTCTGTAATTGCCCCCATGTCTATTCAGACAACAGGAAGCACAGTCAGTGCCCAAAAATCTCCACCATTATGGTAGGCCTGGCATACATCCTGCCCATGCCTCCATGGCATGCTTGGACCTGGCGCAGCCACGTTTTAAAATGCTGCCAGCATCAGAATGTTAGACGGTTTTTAATCTTTTATATATTTTTCAGTTAGTAAGATATTTTTCATCTCTCCTCCCTCTTTTTCACATGTAGAAACTGCAGCACCAGAATGTCAGGTGCCTTATCAAGGCTCACATGGTCTGTAGCAGACTTCAAATTAAAACTTGGAACTCCCGACTCACAAACCAAGAGAGCACTTTCTAAATTATCCTGGAATGTTAATTTTCCATAACTAAAGGAAACTCCTTGGGGATGAGAGCAGATGCTAACCCAAATGAAAATAATCTCACTTGAGCATTTGGAACAAACTACTTGTTCAAACTACTTCCTCCCTTTGTTTCAAATTAAAATATGTAGATAACATCTTCGGGATATTCAGGAATGAATGAGGTAATACATACATAATTGATGTTCATAAACACTGTCACGTCTTTCCCATATGACAGGTCTTTAAGTAGGTGGTCAGCACCTACTTAAAGCTACTTTTCCAATAAATTGCTACATCTGCATTCTTTCACCCTCTTGCCTTATGTCTATGTTTCAGTCCAATGAAAGCTCTAGTTGGGAGATGATATATATGTAACGCACATAATATATATAGAGAGAGGGGGTAGCTGGCAACAAGCAGTAAAGCTAACTAACCTTTGGACGTGGTGAAGTCAGAAGAAAATTCTGTATTGATGTCAGGCTGCCATTCCTCAGAACACCACAAAATGCCTTTCATTCCCTCCTTTCCAATCTGTGCAAAATATCTAGGTAATTAAACTGAAATTCTTCGCATACAGTAAATGGTTGGGCCAGCTCTGTGCAGCCTTGGCCCTTTCCCTGGCTTTCTGTGAAACTCTTTTTGACAGCATTCTGGAGATACTCACATCTTAGATTGCTCTACATATAGAGGAAAGGTTAGTGTTCTGATAAAGCAGTAAATAAATAAATAGACACATAAATAAATAAATAAATAAATAAATAAATAAATAAATAAATGATTCTAGATGACCTTCTAGCATAATTCTGATAGCTTTGCAAAATAGCATAAAACCTCCTACCCTGTCCAGAGAAGAAGGGACAGCTGACAGGGCACAGAGGGGGTGCAAAGTGTGTGTCCTCTCATGCAGTCTGCCATCTTTTCTCTCCACATCCATCAGCAGCGAGGGTCTGTCCTAATGAGGGCAAGTGGGTGTTCCCATGGCTGGTCACATCTCCTTGCCTTTTCCTATCCTCCTTTCTGGAAACATTTAAGGGACAACTTCTTTCAGGGGAAGGACATAAACCCCAAGAGACCTCTGGGTCTCTTGAGTAGAAAAGTCCTGATCCTTCCCCCAGGGTCCACTGAGCTCTGCTCCCAGAACACCTCTTTTGAGAATGAACCTGCAACTTGAATTTCATCGGCACCAAGTCCCACCAACTGAGCTATCCGGCCAGTGTCCAAAATATACAAATAAAACTCATACTTGTAAAACTAGTATCATTTTTTTTTGTTTACTTTATCAAGCTAAAGTTTGAAATGAATCTCTACCTTAGATGCCCTATTTTCAATAATAGATAGACAAGCACTAAGGAACAGTTTTTCCAGGATGTGTGGGACCTAAAAATCTATTCTGAGTGAGCAAGTTTATTCTTAGCTGTATGTAATTTCCCCAAGTGCAGAAACAACTTCTGTTGCATAGTCTACTACCACGACACCAATTACATCAGTAGGTCTTACCTATAGACACTAAAGTGTGTGTGTGTGTGTGTGTGTGTGTGTGTGTCTGTACTTGCCTTCAGAATGTAATGGATAAATCTGAGGAAGAGAAAATAAACTATCCTTAAATAAGAGTGGAGATGTGATTGAGTCCCATCTGTATCCCACACCATAATCCTTTGAGCTCTGGACCACAGGCAAACACAGGGAACCAGGTCCATTTACTCCAGTCTTTACACAACACTCAAAACCTGAGGTGTATGTCTGCTGAAAGCATGCCTGTCTGCATTCTACTGCTGAGTGACCAGAGGAAGCAGCCATGGGTCTGGGGCAGGTGCACAGGGGGCTTCATCTCCACCTCCTCTTGTCCCTGGTTATGCTGGGAGGGACCCAAGTGAGGTGCACTCTGTCACTCATCACTCAGCAGCTCAGATCCTGGAGCCTACGTCAAGAAGGGACCTCAAAAGTCCAACCCAGTACCAGGAGGTCTGACCTAGCAGTTGAGGGAGGGAAACAAGACTGGGTTGAGAGTTCAAATACACTCAAGAACAGATTTTAGTTCTTAGATAAGCCACAGAATTTCCCTAGTTCCTAAGTCCATTGCTAAGTCAGATTTGTTGGCTGTTCTTGATCCAGAACCGCAACCCAAGGACTCAAATCTGGGCAGGGTTGCTGTTGGAAAAGAAATTAACCCCGTGGCATTTGCTACTTTGTTGGACTCCAGATACCGGACAAAGGAAGTACTGATAACAGCGTGAGCTGGTCTTTCAGGTCAGAAGAGGGAGTCGTATTGAATACATGTGCAGCTCTAACACCGTAACTCCATTTTCCCTCCCTTTACTTGCATTCTCTTATTACTTTCTTCACCTTTTGCTCCTTTTCAACAAACTTCACTCTCCTCATAAATCTCAGCTTCCCATAAAATTTTCCTTTACATTCTTCACCCCCCCTTTCCCTTTTTTTAACTCCCCCTTTAAATCCCGTATTCTCTGCTTCCTTCTTTTTGTTGCAAACCTTCACCTATGTCCTCTTTTCATCCTTTTTTGTGCACTAGAACTTTCATCAAGGCACCAGTCATGCCCACAGTTGAGAGATACCCACAGCGCTGATGCCAGTTACATACCATCTTAACACTAATTCTACCTACTGAGTTTCTTTCAAATGTTAAAACTTTCTAAACAAAACCAGGCTACTGAAGAGAGCACCAGAGGAGAAAGACACTAAAGAAGTGTGGGTATGTTTGGTTATTAATCCAAATGGCTACATTAGCACCACATTAGCAAAGCATTCCATTAAAACAAGTCAGGTAATAAAGCCTAAAATAGGTGTTGGGTATTTTTTTTTCTTAAACTTTATTTTTACGAGAGTATATATTTGTCCACAGAAAGGGAGAAGACTGTTTTTAAAAACTGGTGAATAAAAGGCAGCCACAGTTTAAGTAGCCTAGTGAAGTTTTCTTAGGATAAAAAAGTCTGTACATTCCTTAACACCTAATATTATACACCCTAGTATAAGTGTTACTTGAATGCCCATTTTTATAGCAAATGGGCTGGCCAACCCCCACTGCGATGTACACATTCTTTAAATAAATTAACCACTAATCATGTTACGGTCAAGTTCTTTAGACCAGGGAGCCACTAACTTTAAGTTGACATGCACGTTCCCACCCAACGAGCTGATTTAGTTTAACAGATTTCTTGAGTTTCCCAGTTTGTGGTCTTTTACCCCTTCACAGATTTATGGACTTTGGGCATTTTTTTTTCCCTCAAAAAACATAATTTTCTTTAACTTTGGGTTTCCTTAAAACTTTCATGAATTTTCCATATTTCAAAATGAGAGCTATTAGTGAAACTCTCCCCTCCTGGCTCAAACATTTGAGCAGAAAAAACAAGATTTCCAGGGAAAGTGATTGGCATAAGTAAGCCCTTATTTGGTGTTTTTACCCCCAGGAAAGCAAAAATAAGTTATAATGAACATAAATGGTATAAAGTGCAATGAGCTCTACCAGTAAACCAATGTCTAAAGGCTCAGAGAGAAATTGCCATCATACCTTCAATGCTTTGGGAGGAGAACTCTCAGAGAGGCTGGAGGCTCTGGCATCTGGATTTAGTGGCTTGGGATGGACAGGCTGCTGGACCTCACTCTTAACCAGGAAGTTACCTGCTTGAGTTTCAAAAGGAAGAAATTTTATAGCACCTCTTGGCAAGTCTCAGAAATGGTTCCCCTCCAAAGCAAAGTTTTGTCACCTTCACTACAGGACAGGTCCTTTCCACGCCAGGAGATACACAGCTTTTCTAATGCTAAAAGCTTTGCTCTTAGACTCTGAGCTGGGAGGCTTTCTCACCCTTAGCCACACACAGCAGAAATCCAAATCACCAGATCTGAAGAACTTTCTGCCAGCCCCCGTCCCCACTCCCCCACCGTGGGATGTTATATTTAAAGGCTGTTTGTAGACATTGATGGCTTTTCTGGTAGTCAGCACCCCCCAATAACTCCTTCTGGAGTTGGGAAAATGAAGGAATGTGAGGGTGGAAATTTCATATCATGTGCATGTGCACACGTGTGTGTGTGTGTGTGTGTGTGTGTGTGTGTGTGGTGTGTAATCTGACAGTCTTTTTAGTCAATCCTATAGCAGACATCCATGGATGAAGATTATGGAAAAAGGCTCTATGAGGTTTTTTTTTTCCATAATCATTGATGTGTCACCTGGATAAGTTAATTTCCTGCTAATATATTAACTGCGGAAAACTCTGAACAGGCACAGAAAAATGCTACTAAGGAACCATTAGAGAATTCCTTAAAATCTAGAGTTAAGTCAACAAAGTACTAAAAGACTTAGGCTTATTTTTCAAATGTTTTGCAAACCTAGTCAAAACTGAGAAAAATTTCTAGTCCAACCAAAATGCTTGCAAAAGGAATGTTCCTGGATTCAAGCAGCAGATTTCTCTCTGAAATTTTTTGAGGTAGGATTTACTAGAGATTTGTTTAGCTCATATTTCTACTTTAGTTGCTGAGTTTTCAATGTCTAGTAAAGTCATTATCCTGGGGGAAGCTAGAAATCCATAAATATTTTTAAAAATACACTGAAAATCAGAATCAAATGTGGATAGAGTAAGGAAAAAAAAAAAAAAGAAATGTTTTTGTCCTTGGGAGAGGTGAGGCTCAAAATTACTCTAAAATAGGATGAAAAGGTGATAAAAATTCAGCACCAGCAGGAAAATCTCTAGAATCTAGCTAGAGGGTGGAATATGGTACACATTTAGATAAGCAGAGGAAGATATGTTTAAAAGGTTACCCAAATATCAATTCTTTATCCTTGTAAATGAATAAAATCCTTCTTGGCCAAACTCCTATTAAAATGAAACTTCAAAATTAGTTTCTGCAGCTTTAACCCTGAAAAGATTTGATGCAAAAGGTAGGATAAGTTCAATGAGAGAAGCACCAAAAGTATTCAGTGCCTCAAGTTAATCATATCGAATTTAACTTCTCCCTAAGCCATGGAATGTGTGAAGGGTAGGCAAGCACCAGTCCTTGAAACCAAATGAAAGATTTGATCAGCTAAATTACTGGATTTAATATATCACATTCTCAGCACTGACAGCATTGGAGACATCCCCGGACCAAATACAGAACACAGAATAAGAACCTCATCCTCCAGATCTGAGAACAAATGCTTACGGGAGTCATCTTCAGCAGGGGTGGGACGGATTGCCAGGCTATTCTCAGTTGCAGAAACCTACAAAAAGGGTGGAGGGGGGATTAAGAATCACATTAAAAATAAAAGAGCAAACTGCTGTTAATGCCATAAAAACCTGCTGACTCTAGTCAGTCACTGGCTGCCTGGGGGAAATAACGGGCCTCAGAACAGCTGAGCATTTAAACAAGAGGCAGCAAAATGTCTTTTATGAGGATATTAACATGCCTCTCAATTACAGAGTAACGGGAGAAACAGACTGCACTCAACTGCCAAGCGTGCATCATCTCCCTTTATAAAAGAACTTCTAAACCACATCTTTCTACTGTCAAAAAAAAAAAAAAAAAAAAAAAAAAAAAAAAAAAAAAGGGCGAAACAAAACCCTCTATCAGAGAGAATAAAGCTTCTCACCATATAACTATAACTCTCCCCAAGCCAAGATGGAATCTTTACATTAGGAACTATTCTTATTCTTTTATCTTCCTCATTGCTAATTTCCCAACCAGATACATTCAGCTGAAACAAGCTTGCCAGTACAGAAGACACTTTGATAGCTAAACAACAAATTTACCTAAAACCAACCTCTGGTATTCTCTTCAAGGTTAGTTTTCCTTTTTGTTGTTGTTGTTTTTTCATGTTTTAGAGAGAGAGAGCAAGTGAGGAGTGAGAGTGGGGGAGGGGCAGAGAGAGAGGGAGACACAGAGTCGGAAACAGGCTCCAGGCTCTGAGCTGTCAGCACAGAGCCTGACACAGAGATCGAACCCACAAACCATGAGATAGAGACCTGAGCCAAAGTCGGAAGCTTAACCGACTGAGGCACCTGGGAGCCCCTTCCTTCTTAATCCCAGTTTCAAAACAGCAGAGTGTTTAACAAAATGGCAGATTTTGTGCATAGGTACAGATCTCTTCCCAGGAAGCCATCAAATTTAAATAAAAACTTTCTATGAGCTCTCCCTCTCCTTTCTGGTGTCCCAGGACGTCTGGGTATCCTCCTTCACACCCAAAATCACGAAGGGCCAATAGGTGACCAATGTGGAGTCTGCCTGTAACAGTCTTTCATTCAGATATCAGGGATTTTATGGGCAATGCTGAGTGTTTCTATTGAATAAATTTACAATGCAGATTGAGTCATTGGCTGACTGCACCTGAATTTATAGCAAGGTTGTTTTTTCTCATTACTCTGTTTTCATTACAGAAATTCTGACATGGGATAGAACAAACTGCTGTAATAACAGCTAACATTTACTGAGCATTTAGTATGTGCCAGGTATTGGAATAATCACCTTACATGCATTATGTCACTTAATGATAATGAAAGAAACTAAAAGCTCTTCAATTCCTGTTAATTAGTAGGTGCATCCATCTCAGGATGTTCTTCTCTCACCTCTAATTTTGGTCACCTTGAACGTGCAGGGTAAAGTTAATGCCAATCATGACATCATTGCACATGCCCAACCTGCTGACTTCACTACAGGAACAGCCAGGAGAGAGCATGTGAGATTTCTGCTCAAACATTTCATTAAAGAGAAGCACAGATTTGATCACAAGAGGACAAAGGGAAGAACAATACCTTGACAAAATATTCTATTTCAGACAAGTGCACCTAGTGTCCTTTTTTAACAAGCTGATATTCCAATCGTTCTTAGGTATTGGTTAACAAAAGCTGGGCGAACAGCTGAAAGGTAAGCAAGGCTCTGAAAAATGTTATGAATTTGCCATGGGTTTATGGGTTTATGAACCTGCAGTGTGGTACGTGAAGATTATGTACTACTGTCTTTATCTCCTTTCCTTCCCACCCACTCCTCAATTCATGGTTTAGTTGCACTGATGCCTTTTAGGCTATAATTAAAATGTTTTGATCCTCCAGTTCGACTCAGAGTTCCAGTTTCAAATCAGTGTGAAGACCATCAAGAAGGAAACACAAAATCAGATTAGGGACAATCCAAGCATTATTTTCCGGATGACCATTTCTCAAATTATATGTTCCTAGGGTAGATGGGGGGATTTCAATGCTGGGAATATTTTTCTCTTAAAAATTTTTTTTTTGGTTTATTTATTTTGAGAAAGAGAGAGAAAGAGCAAGTAGGAGAGCAGAAGAGAGAGAGAATCCCAAGCAGCCTCCATGCCCAGCATGGAGCCCAACTAAGGAGTGGATCCCAGGAGTGTGAGATCATGACCTGAGCCGAAATCAAGAGTATGCCACTTAACCCACTGAGCCACCCAGGCATCCTTTAAATTTCTTTTTTATAGTATGTAACATTTTAACTCAGTTGTTGTTGTTGTTGTTGTTCTTCTTCTTCTTCTTCTTCTTCTTTTAAGATTTTACTTTTAAGTAATGTGTACACCCAACGTGGGGCTTGAACTCACGACCCTGAGATAAAGACCTGAGATCAAGGAGCACCTGGGTGGTTCAGTCAGTTAAGCATCTGACTTTGGCTTAGGCCATGATCTTGCAGTTTGTGAGTTTGAGCCTGTACTGGGCTTTGCACTGACAGTGTGGAGCCTGCTTGGGATTCTCTCCCTCTCTCTCTGTCCCTCCTCTGCTCATGCTTGCTCTTGCTCTCTCTCTCTCAAAACAAACTTAAAAAAAAAATTAAAAGACCTGAGATCAAGGGTCAGATGCTTAAACGATTGAGCCACCCAAATGCCACAACTCAGTTATTCTTAAGACATAATCTCCCACTTAAAAATGGGAAAACCAGGTAGTCTAATAAGAGAACTCATTTGATACATGGCATGGGACTCATGGGACTAATGCATGAGCCCACTGTTGCAAGGACATGTGTAATTTACTGGATTTTATGATTATGAAATACACTACTGCTAAGTATTCTGTCTTACTATTTCAAAATACATTTGCAATATGTTTTTGTCAAATAAAGTGATTTAATTTTTCTAATTTATTTCTCATTTTATCATATGATTCATATTTTGTAGCCATTAATCTGAGACCATTTTCCTGTGCACCTACTTAGTGTGTTTCATAAGTTTCGGTTGGTGTTCTGTCAATACATCACACTTTTTAAAAAAATGTTTATTCATTTTTGAGAGCGAGAGAGAGAGAGAGAGAGAGAGCACAAGTGGGGGTGGGGGCGGTGCAGAGAAACAGAGACACAGAATCTGAAGTAGGCTCCAGGCTCTGAGCTGTCAGCACATAGCCCAATGCAGGGCTCCAACTCACGACCTGGGCCAAAGTCAGACACTTAACTGACTGAGCCACCCAGGCACCCCAATACATGAAACTTTTTTTTTTAATGTTTTTTTATTTCTGAGAGAGAGACAGACAGACAGAGTGTGAGCAGAGGAGGGGCAGAGAGAGAGGGAGGCACAGAATCTGAAGCAGGCTCCAGGCTCTGAGCTGTCAGCACAGAGCTGGACGCGGGGCTCGAACCCATGAACTGTGAGATCATGACCTGAGCCAAAGTCGGACACCCAACCGACTGAGCCACTCAGGCGCCCCACATCAAACTTTTTAAAGTCTTTTATAGTCAAATAAATTTGAGAACTATTGCTCTTAATCCATTTTAATGATCTCTTCACCTTTTGGAAGAATGGCCTCAAGGTTATCAATATGTGTAACAGAAACAATGATTTTTCTCCTAAAATTAATCACTGTAATATATTTGAAAGCTCTTTCTCCTCATCTAACTTAACATTTGACATTGACCAAAAGCCAAAAGAAATTGGGTAATGGATTGGCAGAGAAAATTATAAATTCACCTGATATAAATGTTGTGACTTACTCCGACCAAGCCATTCATCTAATCATGGCTGCATAGAATGCAAATATGATTTGCTTAAAATCTTCCCGTCGTTTTCCACCTCTGCAGGACTCTTTCCAAAGTCTTAAGCTTGGCATAGAGAGCTTTTTAAGACCCGCCCTGGCTCTCCCTCCATTTGTCTCTCCTTTACCTGTATGTGCCTTGTATTCCAGCCAAGCCATCTTGGTTTGGAGCTCTGGTTTCCAAACCTCTGTTTGTGTCTGCCTGGGGTGCCCTTCTTATTCTTTACTTAGTCTTTCCCTTACTCACTTGGTCTCTTTCCACATATTCTTCAGGACTTGGCTCAGACATCACCTTCTTGAGGAAGTCGGGTTAAACGTCCTTAGTCTGAGCTTCCATGGCCCCACAGAGCCTTCTCACAACACTTACCATATTGCTTTTTAACAGCCAACCTGTTACTCATCTCCCTTCTACTCTGTTAGCTTCCTTGCAGATAAAGACCACATGGAATGGTCTGCTCACACTGAGTTGCTAAGCTTAGTATTTCCTGTGCTTAGCATGGTGCCTAGCTTTCAAAATAGTTTGAGTGAAAGAATGAAATGGTCTTGCATAAAATGTGTTAAATTAAGAATACACAAATACTTTGAAGATAGGATCGCTAATCAAAACAGATTTTTTAAAATCACTTTAGCTCTACGCCATCTGAGCATTTGCTGAGCAAAAGAATTTTCCAGTGAAGGTTCATTATTTGGTCAGCTATAAGTTGCAGAGTTCCCCAACTAAAATTATGTGACCTGCAAAAATGACAATCTGTCCTGGCAGCTGTTACCAAATTCCCAGACACTCTGCAGCCTACAGTTAGAGTTGTTTCTAATTTTAAGCATCTAATTTAGAACACATGCTTCCTTGGCAACTGGACATCAGACTCTTCAACCCACCTTTTCTCCAACCTGATGGGAGATGCAGACCTCAGGATCTGGGGGCACATTCTCCTTTTGCTCCAACTTATGAGTTTTTATTTCACCACCATTGGCTCTCAAGTCATTCTAGAAAATAAAAATAATCTGTGAGCTAAAATTAAAAATCTCACGATTCTACGCTCTTCATAGCACATCTATTAAATAAACTTGGAATGGTAAAAGAAAAGTTCTTTTAAGAGGCCTTGGGTCAAATCAACCCCCTAATTCTCACAAGCAAAACCCATTTACTAGTGAAATGACAAAAGCAGCTTTGTGGACACATACCTCGGAGTTAAATATTTGTACGCTAGTCTAAAACTGGATGCTCATTAGAATACAGACATATCAACACAGACACACACAGAAACCACCCCCAGCATACAGTTTTCTTGTGATTCACTCCTCTAGCAGCAGAGCTCGTGGGAATGCAAAGCTTGTGAGTTTTATCAGAAAAGACCATTCTGGAGCAGGGGAAAGGAAATGCCAAGTGCCAATAATTAAGAAAATATACTGACCATATATATAAATGCTCGGCCTGGAAAGAGAGACAGGGATGATGCATACATATAAAAGCAGAGATTATATTTAACGATACCATAAAACAACCTTTTTTGTGAGACTTTCAAAAACATGCTTCTTTTTTGCATCAAAGTCATACATTGTACTAAAGACATACCTTATTCTACTTCTCAGAACAAAGCCTCAACATATAAAAAGCAGGCATTAACACTGTCATATGGAGTAAGCATAATCACATGTTTTTCCTTGCAAAGAACACTTGGGGCAAAATATTAAAATTAACTTTATCGACTAGATCCAAAGTTAATATAGTGGTAGATGAATATGGACATTTCCTAACCTTTAGTCTGCCACCTTTCTGAAAGGCTAGTACCTTTCTGTTGTTTGCGATTCTTTAGGCAGGGCGAGAAAACAAGCAATTTATGGCCTCGGGGCCAGTGAAGAGGGTGTGAGTGTGCTGGCTGAGGTATGGGCTCCCAGACTAAGGGACGCGACTCTGGAGGAACATCTGTGAGGAGCTGGCGGCCAGAGCTGCAGAACACAACAGGCCAGCCCAAGGACTCAATTCTGACCCCATCTCAAAGCCCTGCCTCCAGAATCACGGCCTGAGAGTGTGCGCCTAGTTACAGCCATCCTCTGTAAGGAGCCTGAGAAATTCTTTGGGGATGAGATAAAATGTACTTTTGACAAGAATTCCTAAAGGCTCTTAAAATTTACAGAGCAGGAGAACGGCAATGCATAAACTCTATTAGGAGTTTAAAAAAAAAAAAAAAAAGTCACAGAACAGGTTTTTCCACCTAGGGAGTCACCTGGTCGGAATGTTTGTAGCAGGAAGACTGAGAAGCAGCAGAATCTTGAAAAGAAGGACTTATGCTCCAAAGATCACCCATTTGCCCTATCTCCTGACCTGCCTTCTAAGTCTAATTTTGCTCATTTTCACACTCAGGGAATAATGAGCCTGTGGTGTTCCACTTTGCTATCAAATTATGCACATCCTCTCTTCTAAAAAGCACAGTGAAAAATCACGATGAAATTATTCGTTGCCCAGAGACAGAGTCCACGGGTAACTGCTATTAGAGAATGCATACTTAATAATATGAGGAAAAGAAGGCTCCACTCCTGGAATACATGTGATGATTTCTAATAGATACTAGTTTCGGTCTGCCCAGGAACAAGTAAAATTCAACGCTCTTCTTGGAACTTTGTTTAAAAAAAAAAAAGGACACCAATAGGTTCATAGCTTGTATTTTTAAATCTTAGAAGGATCAAATGTTTGAAAGATACACATAAAATATACATATGTACGGTGTCTATATGCATGTGTATATATGAATAAATGGCATTTGAAAGGTAACTTCTGGTAAGCAGTTCTGTAGTGTCAGCTTGCCAATTAAGCCTAGGAAAGTTTAAAATGGAAAATCCTATTTAGAATAACAAATTTTGTGATTACTGAGCAAGCCATCTTGTTATTTCCCCCTCCCCTTTACTTATCTACTATACTATTTCTTTAGAAAATCATTACATCATAAGAGGTAAAGATTAAGTGCACCACATATTATATGATTCATTTATATAAAATGTGCAGAATAGTAAATCCATTGAAGACAGAAAGCAGGGGGAATTGGGAGTGACTACACAGATATGGGGTTTCTTTTTGGGGTGATGGAAATATTCTGGAATTAGACAGTGATGATGAGTGTACAACATTAATGTTGAATATATCCTATATTTCTCTCCAGTATTCTCTCTTTCCTCAAAAACAAAAATGGGGCACCCGGGTGGCTCAGTCGGTTGAGCATCCGACTTTGGCTCAGGTCATGATCTCACGGTCTGTGGGTTCAAGCCCCACATCGGGCTCTGTGCTGACAGCTCAGAGCTTGGAGCCTGCTTCTGATCCTGTGTCTCCCTCTCTCTCTGCCTCTCTCCCACTTTCACTTTGTCTCACTCTGTCTCTCAAAAATAAATAAATGTAAAAAAACAAAAATTAAAAAAAAAACAAAAATAAGTGTTTCTGTTAAAACTAACAGATGACACTTTTTTAGCAACAACAGCAAGATTAAGTAGAAGAGACAGGAAAACTCTCAATATTACTGGATGATAACATCACACACACACAAAAATGAGTGGGGTGGGAATAAGGCCTAGGAAAGCAAAGTCAGTATTAGAACACGGTAAGGATTTTGAATGAGGCTAGGGTAG